CGCCCTCCTATGTTTCTGCTGACCCAGTTCCTGCCCCTCTCTGGGCCTTAGTGTCCTTTCTCAGATGGTGATGGGGCAGGGGGCTGGGCCTCTTGGGCCGGTGACCAGCCAGCCCACTGGTGCCCACTCACCCTCCGGCAGCATGTGGTCCTGTATCCGCTGGTGGCCAAGAGTCTACGCAACATTGCAGCTGGCAGAGACCCCCTGGAGGGCCAGCGGCACTGCTGCGGCATCGCCCAGATGCACGAGCACAATTCCCTGGGCCACGCCGATCTGGACGCCTTGCAGCAGAACCCCCAGCCTCTCATCTTCGACATCGAGATGCTTAAGGTGAGGGGCCACCAGGCCCCAGGCACCTCACCAAACTCCTACTGCCCAGCTTCAGAGCGGGTGCTGGTCCCACCTGCCTGCCCAGAGTTGGTGGGCCCACTGACTGTTGGTTGGGCTTGGGGTGGGGCAGGTACAAGGACACCTTTGTGGACCCCCTGGCAGTGTCCTCCCCCTCCTTCAGGTCTCTGCAAGGGCAGGGATTTTCACCATCTTGTTCACTGCTCTATTTCTAGAACCCAGCACAGTGCTGGGCATGTAGGAGATGCTCCATAAACGTCTGTTGAATGGTCAGTGAATGAACAAGTGATTCTGTTTCCGGTATCCAATGTCCCAGGCCTGGCCAGCCCAGAGGCTGGCCCTCGGCCCTGACTTGGCCTACACCCCGGCAGGTGGAGAACCCTGGCACGTACCAGCAGGACCCATGGGCGATGACGGATGAGGAGAAGGCAAAGGCAGTGCCGGTCATACACCAGGAGGGCAACCGGTTGTACCGCAAGGGCCTTGTGAAGGAGGCTGCTGCCAAGTACTACGACGCCATCGCCTGCCTCAAGAACCTTCAGATGAAGGTGCCGCCTGGAGGCTGCAGTGGGTGAGTGGAGGGGGTGAGGTGGGGCCAGGGGGCCCAGGTTTCAGCATCTTTTGCCCTCTCCCTCCCCCCACGCCCCCAGGAACAGCCTGGGTCCCCCGACTGGATCCAGCTGGATCTGCAGATCACACCACTGCTGCTCAACTACTGTCAGTGCAAGCTGGCGGCCCAAGAGTATTACGAAGTGCTGGACCACTGCTCCTCCATCCTCAATAAGTATGATGGTGAGCACTGGGCGCTGGGCCGCCAGGGTGGGCCAGCGGGTGGTCAGTAGAGCAGCCTCCTCCGTAACCACTAGACACCGGGGCACGAAACTGAGCCTTTAATATCACCCCCATTCTGAAGTCCCGTGGGAGCCCGACCAAATATCGTCCACCCAGGCAGGGCCATGGGCCCTGTTGCGCCAGTGAGATATGAAAGGGGGTTTGGGGTGGGGTTGGCATCCTCATGGGCTCCGTCCCATGATGGGCCCCTGGTGCCAGAAGTCAGGCTAAGTAGCTGGCTGGTCCCCCCTTCATGTCCTTGTGTGCCTGCTGCCCACTGGCAAACCCTGCAGACAACGTCAAGGCCTACTTCAAGCGGGGCAAGGCGCACGCGGCAGTGTGGAATGCCCAGGAGGCCCAGGCCGACTTTGCCAAGGTGCTGGAGCTGGACCCCGCCCTGGCGCCCGTCGTGAGCCGTGAGCTGCGGGCCCTCGAGGAAAGAATCCGGCAGAAGGACGAGGAAGACAGGGCCCGCTTCCGGGGCATCTTCTCCCACTGACAGGGCCCTGCTGGCCCAGCCACCCTGCCCAGCTCACTGCTGCTGCTAGCAGCCCCCCCCACCCCCGCTGTATCATGCTTCTCTGTATATAAAAGCCTTATTTATCTCTCTCTCTCTCTCTCTGGGCCTGCCGAGCTGATCCATTGGGAGAGCTGGGGTCATCACCCCTCATTTCCTGGTCCTTGGGTGGTTTGGGGAGGCAAAGAATTGGGGTTCTAATCCCAGCTCCCCATTCACCAACTCAGATCTTTTTGGGCCTCAGTGTCCCTGACAGAGAAGTGAGGGTGGTCTCTGTTACAAAGGAAGTGTTTCTTGCTGGCCAGGGCTAAGCTGCCTGGGAGCTTTCAGTCTTAAGGGGGAGACGAAGCAAGTGCAAGCCAGGGGGCCTAGTGTCCGGGTGAGGCGGGCTCCCAGTGCAGCCCTCTCCCCTCCGATTCCATGGTCTCAGCTAATGCAGGCAGAGGTTCCAGTGAGAAGCCAAGTGTGGGCCCCTGGGAACTGAAAGGCCAAGTGGTGAGGGGAGGGCGGGGGTAGGCTGACTCTCCAGGCCCCAGTCCTGGCCCTGTCCTCTGACCCGTTGCGTGACCCTGGGCACATCCTGGCCCCTCTGTCCTCTGACCCGTTGCGTGACCCTGGGCACATCCTGGCCCCTCTTTGCTCTTCAGCATCTCTCTTGAACTGGAAACTGGGGGCTGGGCCACCCTGTGATGCCAAGCAGGTGGGCAATCAGGTGAGATGCAGGTGGTGTTTATTTTCATGGATTTACACACACTGGAAAAGCCTCTGGGCCCTTGCTGCTCCCTCCTCCCACCCCCAGGGCTGGGTCCCCCAACATGAAAGGGAACTAACACTGAGGGGCAAACAGAGATGCAGGATGTGGGGCTGGGGGCCCAGCCTTCCACACGTGGCCACTTGGGCCTCTCAAGTGTGTGAGTAAATAACCCAAGTCCAGCCACAGTTTGGGCCTCACTCTTCGCTGTCTAGCTTGAGGCTGATGCTTCGGGCCTTGCCTCGCGCCAGGGTGGTAGGCGGCGTCCCTGGGCCCTCCCACTCTGCCTGGCTGGGGCCCCTCGAGCGAAGCAGCTGGCTCTGTTTTCGGAGGAAGTCCACAGGGGCAGCCCCGCCATAGCTGCTCTTGGCCAGGGCGGCCCTCGAGGGTCCCACGGGGGCATGAGGGTGGGAGCTGGCCTCCAATTGGCCCAAGTGGGCCACATAGCCATCTGACAGGAACTGCGGGCAGAGGTGGTCAGGGATGAGGGGATGGCTGGTCTCAGGCCCACACGCTGCCCTCACCTGTCCTCCCCAGGGTCCTGGGCAGTGCTGGCTGCATTATAGGCCTGGCACAGCCTGACCAACCCCAGGCTGAGCCAGGACACCTTTATTCCTGGCTCTGCCCCTCTCTGGGCCTCATCTTGAGTTTCCTCATCTGTAGAATGGGATTTTGGAGGGAAATAACAGCAGCTAACGTTTAGCAAGCACTTGCTTTGTGCCCAGCCCCGTGCGTGCTGATATGCAGTAAATCACGTGCTCTTCATGATAGCTGTTGAGGTCTGGTCCATGTTATCATTTCCATTTTGCAGACGAGAAACTGAGGCTCAGAAAGGTCAAGGCCTATGCCGAGGACCATGCCAAAGTGGAACCAGTACTCAAGGTCTTGAGCATATTATCAATCCTGGCCTGCCCGGCACCTCCAACCTGCTTGTGACCCCCGTCCTTGGAGGAGCCCAGGTTCCCTGATGCCAGCCATCCTTCTCAGAGCCGCCCGCCTTAGGTGCTTCTTAACACACGGGTGGTCCTTCCGGCCCAGACCCAGGCTCCCACTCCCCAGCTGGCTCGCAGTCCCCACCTTCACTTGGTTCTCACCTGGCACTGCGCCTGGAGCTTCCGCACGGCACGGCCCACGATGTAGGTCTGGCCCGGGGGTAGGCCCAGCGCCGCATATACGGCCACGTCTTTGGGGGACCCGTAGCCGGCCACGATGTTCAGTTCCACCTGTGGCCAGAGAGGCCAATCAGCAGCCCCGGGGGGCGGAGTCGTGAGGCAGGGGGTGGGGTCTGGTGGGCATCCGGTTCAGAATGTTTCGGGTCGAGGCCATATGGTCTACCTCACCAGGTCCGCCTGGGGTCGGGACTGGCCATATCTCTCTAGTTGGCCCCAAGGACAAGGGGCCCCTGGGACCACGAGGGCCTTGGTGGTCTGTTAGGTTCGGGGCCGATGGGGGTGAGACCAGGTGGGCCTCCTCCCGGGGCGACGGCAGGGACGGGACCCTCCCCAGTCGCCGCACCTCCTGCACCAGGCTCTGCAGAAACACCGCCTTCTGGCGCAGTGGGTCGTGGGTGAGGCCATCGCAGAAGGAGACTACGCCGTGGGGAAAGTTGTGCTGTGACAGCCAGGCCACCACACGGTGCTTCTGCATGTCGGGCCGGCCCGTTACGTACACGATCAGGTAGCCCGCGTCCTGCCAGTGCCTGCAGGGTAGGGCGGCGGTCAGTTCCACGGGCCAGGGGTGGAGACCAGTCACCACGGTGAGCCGGGCGGCCGCTCCTACCTGACCACATCCACGGCGCCGGCGCGCACCTTGGGGTCGCTGCCCATGATGGAGACACTGGCGGTGAAGGAGCCGTCGATGCTGAACACCACGGCCTCCGTGCTGCGGGCCACGACCGTCAGGCAGCACTCAGCGTACGTGTGGTCGCCCCTACGGCCCAAGGGCTGCTTGAGCGACATAGGGGCGAGGCCCAGAGGAGCCCCGCCCCGCAGAGACCCGGCCCACCCCGCGCTCACCTGACTACCATGCGCACCGGGTAAACGCCGATACCCAGCGCACGCTCCACGGGCACCGGGAAGGTGAGGCGGCCCGAGCTGTTGGTGACCTCGGTGCCAAAGTGAATCCACTTGCCTGACAGCGGCTGCGTCATGATGTAGATGTCCACCTAGCAGGGAAAGGGGGCGAGAGGGTCCCCCTGACGCTGAGCGGAGGAGGGTGGAGGCAGGCCTGTCGTTGGGGGTGGATGGGGTTGGGGTCTCAACCTAGTGTGACTGGGAGCTATCCGTGGGACAGGAGGCAGCACCCGGACCTCCCGCTTGGGGCGAGGTCGGCCCGAGGGCGGCCAGTCTACCCGGGACTGAGGCCTCTGTGTCCTGACCTTCTCTCCGGTGAGCGTGACCACGTCCAGGGGCCCGTACATGAAGCGCCCGTTCAGCACCTGGGGGCGGCCCTCGCACACCACCGTGTCGCTCGCCCGGTGGTTGGAAGTGACGTTCTGGCGGGAGGAGACGTCGTGAGCCCGCAGCAAAGAGGTGACAGGGATGCGGGAGGTGCTGGTGAGGGGGACCCGCTCTCAGACTGGGGTGCTCGGCCTGGAGGAGGCGGGGTCGCTGCGAGAGAGGGGCGAGGCCCGAGGGGTGGGCCCTTTTGCTGACCCCAATCTGAGGTCATGAGGGCCTCTGTGTGGAGGGCGGTTCCGAGGGGGCGGAGGCATGACAGGATGGGGTGCAGAGGATGAGGAGGTGGGGGGATGCTTAGGGGAAGAGACCAGTTGGTACCCAGGGGCGGGGCCGAGGCATGAGGAGGTGGGGCCAGGACCCAGGGCCAGCGGGCGGGATCGGACCCCGGAAGGTCTTGAGGGGCAGGGATCCTGGGGAGAGTAGGCAGGGCCTCGCTCTTGAGGGCTGGGGGGGGCAGGGCACGTACCCGGATCTTGACTTGGGTGCGTTTGCGCTGCCACTTCTCCCTGGGGAAGGCCGGGCTATAGATGGACGGCTCCTCGCACTCGGCCAGCTGTGGCTGCTCCTTCTCCATCACCTGCGAAGAATCGGACCAGCAAGGCCACGACGTGAAGGGGGGAAGGGTGCCTGGGGCTGCCCCTTCCCCAGCCCACGGCTCCCTATCATTGTCCGGTTCCCTCTCCCACCCCGCATCCCTGGGCTCACCTGGCGCAGGATGAAGGCCACCACATCCGCAGACTCCCAGTAGCTGGCATGGAAGAGGTGGGGCAGCGAGACGGTGGGGAAGGCGGTGAGCGCCTCAGGGCAGTACAGCGAGTAGTCAATCCGCTTGGTCCCCCACCAGCGCTCCAGGACTGTATGGCCACGGTGGGCAGTGAGTCAGGGGTGGCCTCCTGCCCCATGCCCACCCGTCTGGCCCCTACTGCTCTTCCCTCCCTCTTTTCTGCCAACCCTGCTGAGTCTGGAGTTGGGTGCTAGGGCACCCTCATTCCAGAGCAAATGCTGGGGGCAAGGATGTTTCAGCTAGGCTTTGAAGGTGTTGTAAGTGTCCCCTCCCCAGGCTGGGCGGCTGGCTTACTCTTGACCACCTCACTGGTGGTGCTGGGGGCAGCTGGCTGGGCTGGCAGATCACTGCCTAGCTCACTGCCCTTCCAGAAGGCACCGCTGGCAGAGGTGGGTGTTGAGGGCACCAGCATCTCCAGCTCCTCCAGAAAGAGGCCTGAGTGGGTCTGCAGAGTGTCAGCTGTGGGTGGACGGGCGACCTCAGGGGCGGGCTGGGCCAGGCCGCCCTCCTGTCTTCCCACCCAAGGTTCCAGGACAGCCCGGCCCCCATCCCTCCACCACCTCCCCTGCCAGCCCTCCCTGGTCGGGTCTTGGCTGAGGCTGAAGTGCCCCACATCTGGGTGGAGGTGAAGGGTGGGGGCATCCTCTCCTGTTAGCTCACCCCAACAGC